AACATACTTGCAAATTTTTTTCATAATGTCAGTCGACAGAAAGTTCCACAATTAGTGAACAGGGCTCAGAAAATTGAGCTTACATAGTTTTTACACAAACAGTTCAAGTTTAAACAAAAATAGGTGTAACAAGTATGAGATAATGACTAATCAATAAGCTCGTGTAGAATAGAGAGGAACTAGTGGAAAGGCGATAAAGTGCTTTTAGATAAAATCTGTATGAAAACGCAATCTTATTAATAAACAGTTATAGAGTGGTAATAAAATATGGATGATGGGAATAATAATGATAATGAAATAATAGTAGTAATAACAATAATAATAGTGAACTTACATAAGAAAAAAAGAAAAAATAGGAGAAGCAAAATTATAGTAAGTAGTTTACTCTGGCCACGTTAGGGTAAGAGAATGTATGCATCGCTTTTGAAAGCAGAGGTCCGGTTTCAGATCTCGAATAGCTAATGCTGCAGCTATGTACAAATGGCGCATGCGAAGTCCATTTGTACGATATTGAGGGACTCTGTGTAGCACTGTGAAGCATTCATGTGGGGGTGCTGGGTGTCCGGAGATGACAAGGTGTTCGAAGATATAGCTGCTGCTATTCTTCTTTTCTCCTCTGGCTAACCAAGCTGGACAGTGTTCCAGCCTACATCTGTGAACTTGACGTTGTGTGCGGCCGATTTACTTTGCTTCACATGAGCAAGTAAATTGATGAATACACAATGAAGTGGCCAAAAGCGATATCTTATCCCTAACGTTAGACTGGATTAACTGTCTGCTGGAGAATGTAATACGTAAAGTGGCTGTTGGAAATGTCTTCTTCAGACATTTAGAAAGGCGGTTTCTGAGAATTTCCGCTGCGATGTCACCTTTGAATTCTGGGTTCACGAAGAGAGTTTTCTTAGGAACAGTTCGGATGTTTGGCGACGGAGGCTTCTTTTTCATGTTTTTGTCCATGAATTTTGGTGGATACCCTTTCTCTAGTAGGGTTTCACGTAATAAATCTAATTCTTTCTCTATCATGTCTTCCAAACAGATTTTTCCAATCCCTGAACTTAATGTACGTACCAGGTTTCCCTTTCGTATCAGTGGGACGAAGCTCTGGAAGTTGATAAACTGTCCCGTCCATGTCGGCTTGCGATATATCGATCTATGGATCGTACAGTCGTGTCTTATGGTAAGTGGTACATCAAGGAATGGAAATGACATGTCCGATTCACGTTCTAAGGTGAATTTTATTGATGGGTGTGATGCGTTGAAGGTTTTTAGGAGATAATCTAAATCAGATTTTCCAACACAAATTATGAATGTATGCACACAATGGTAAAGGTGTTACGTAATAAAGAGAGATGCATAAGATAATGAGTGACTAGTAAATTAGGTAACAATGTACTGAGTTCAACTCAAGTCATAGAAACAGGAGACAAGCAAATTTACACTATGTCATTTTTTATCATGTTATCATTTTTTATGAAAAGGATTTATTCGACTTTGATGAATTTGCGTTGATACAAATCAAAAATTGGCTACAAGTGAATGTAATAAATTGTGAACTCCATATGATTTGTTAAACCTCAAGATAACACTCGGTCGCCGAAACCAAAATGAGTGAAACTGAGTTTTAATTCGTCATATCCGACTACTAAATAAATAAACCACTGTCTGGCAGCCAGATACATGACTACCTTTAATTTTAGTATTGTTACCCGTTATTCTGATTATTATTTTAAACACCAGCAAGCTACACAAGCGGTAGTTTTGAAGAGATATCGGACTGATTACCTTAAGATAACAAATAATTTCAGACACTTAAAATCCCTAAGTACCATTCTTAATGCTTGCTTGGGTTCCGAGAGGAACATACGGCTTCAACAACACATTTCCACTTTTTTCTATTCTCTGCTGTCCTCTTCATCTGTCCCCACGATTGTCCATAATCTCTCATCTCCTTCTCGCCACACGATCTCCTCTGTTTCATCCTCGTACTGATGACCCACTCGTCGCTTCCCATTCGGATTCCACTCGAGCTATGACCTGCACTCCGCGCGATGTCATTCGACGGTCTCCTCAACGTATGACCAATCCATCTCCATTTTCTCCTACATATTTATTGAGTGATCGGCCTTGGTTGGTTTGTTCCCAGCCAGAGTTTCTTGTTGCTAATTCTTTCTGACCAACGATCTGATCTTCATAATCACACTACCTACACTCATAATTCAATTGTACCAAAAACAGTTCACAAAGCTTACTAATTTCAATGTATTTTAATGCTTTAGAATATATATATAAATGCACATAAATGAATGCCACATAGTGAGTGCATATAATGACCTCATTTTAATTAGTGATTTACAACTCATGATTAACAATAGTTTATTAAATATGAACTTGGTCAGCAGGTGTTTGGAAAAATTCGGATTGTTAATAATGAATGAATACAACTATTGATTAAATCCTTTTATAACTCATCTAACATTTCTTACACTAAGAGCTTAAAATACCTGAAAATTCGAGGTGATTAAGCTACGGTATGTTGAGGTTTGAAGCAGTTTAGTGTTAGTGTACGATATAAAAATATCGCTACAAATAAAGATAAAGTTCTCCAATATGCAAGAATATCGGTACATTCCTGCATACTAATGCAGTTCATAGTTTATATTTAGAGATAGTAAACACGCTTGATTAATACTTGCTCAATAACTTCACGTTATTACACTGACAATGCCGTCTCAAATAATATAACAATCAAAGTCTCATAGTTATATTCCCATTGTATTTAGAAAATGAATAAGCATATAAGTAAAGTAGCATTCTCCAACGGTACATTCTAAGTAAAAGAAGACATTGGTTAAAATAATTTCTAAACGGCCTACCCTCATCAAAAACCAGGAAAAACACTGCAGTGAATAGATACAATTTATCAAAATAAGTTGGGATAGGAAATCACAGTCCCTAAAATTCTACCTATGCATTTCTTAAAAATTACTTGTTAACTGTCTAATATTTGAATGACACCAAGAAACCGGAGGAACTTAGATGACCACAGGATATTTTCATTTGGAATTTCAGAGTTCACATCACTCACTACTTATTTGTATGCAATCCACAAACCTCAATACATAGGACACATGCTCCTTGAAACAATTCGCGATAAGGGGGTACCGAGACTATTGTACGTAACCTACCAATTTCTTAGGCTGACTGAATGGATTACACAGTTTATAAAAAACAAAGCAACTTAAACCTCGGCAACACACAGCACCTTGAACCTTGCCAATATTCTTGACATCTTTAAACCTATTCAGTCACAAATACATTGACCGTATGGAAATAATTTCCCGCGAATCTAAATACACAAAATACCGAAATATGTAAACCTCAGTCAGCTTAGAAAAAAATAAAGTGGTGCATTAGTCCTCCAATTCCAATCCTCTACCTTTAAGCACCTCTTTTATTAAGGCACTTAATCAACTGTGAGCAGCTGTTGTTTTAAAATTTAAAATTTTATACTACTTAAACCGTCTAGTTAGTAGTTTGTGATAGTGATGAGAAAACCTTAGTCAATAGTCTGACAAAGACGCTAAGTCGTTGCAACTTTTTCTATTTAATGAATGCCTAGCAATTTTTTTCCAGCTAATCAGTGTCATGAAGGCACCTTCTGAATGCAAAAATAGCTCAAATGTATTAGATGATTGGAGGCAAACAGTGGGAAGCAATGGAACTAGGTTTCGTGCTTGTTGGCAGTTGTCAGCAAGCTATGTCTGCAACCTCCAATCATCCAAACACAATTCAGCATGCATCACGATAGCGTACCACCTAGCATGGTTACCATGTTACAAACTTGATTAGTAGAATCCAGTCTTCCACAACCCAAGGACTAGACACATGAAATTGGTTACTAACCAATGACCAATCAAAGTGACTTAAACGAGATTACATTTGTGTAATACTCCTGTAATCTCACAACTACCATATTATGATTCCTATACCTTCATCAACAATGACCAATCACAGCTTTGGACAGGCTACAAATGTCAGCAGGATCGCCCCGCAGCCTTAAAGTGTTGAGATAGATTTGCGGTGTAGCTGTGGGTTCGTGTTGATGTAGATCCCCAAACCAGGAAAGACACAGCCGCACAGTGCACCCTGGTTTTTATTCACTTTCTCATCGATAACAGTTTGCGATAAAATTTACCCTGAGGCCATAAAGGCTACATTTTTCTCTAAATTAAACAAATTATACAGTAATTATCTAAATAATCTTAAAACCAACACTAACAGACAGCAATATGACCTAAATATCAACCTAAACGAATTTGACTGAGACACAACTTTGTTGTGGTTAAATCATACTTCTGTTTTTTTAAAACTTCTGAACCAATGAAGTTTTGGAAATTAACTAAGTTGAGAATTAGCATTAATTCTCTTGAAGACTTTTAGGTACGCAAACAGGACTAAACGTATAACTGAATAGGGTAAGGTTAATTGATATATATAATTCCATGAAGTATAAGATGCATTATTTCAACATTGACGTTAGTAGGAGTTTCCGTCGCGCGTTGGCGGTTCAGCCGTAGAATGCTGGCCGACCACGCAACTAGGCCAGCCGGCTGACGCACTCTTCAACATCACTTAGTCAGCAGCAAGCCCGATAAAAAGAGGGGTTACGAGTGAGGCCAGGAAACCCACCCCATAAGAACGAACAACACCACAGCTACTGAAACCTCAAGGTTCAAAGCCTTATGTTCCACTCAGAATGCAAAGAAATCAAAAAAGATTTTTTTATCGACTCTTTTCTATGCATGCAATTATTCATGCTACTTCAACACAATCTAAGTAGCCTGTTAAAGTCGTCATTCCATTTTACATTATACTTCTATGTAGAACAACCAGAATTATCGATTATCGATGAAGTCAAATAATTTATGCATGTATCAGAATGTACAGACTAAAGAGATATGTCAAAGGTGCTTTATTTAACACTGTATAATATCATATTACGGAAAACCTACACTTTCAGAAGATGGTGGTGAGTGTTTCCACGATTTACTATTACAACAATAACAACAATCGATAATTCATCAAGTAGAAGGCAGATAATTAGATTGAATGATATATTTTAGATAAAAACAATATTATAGGACATGTGTGAAACGACTTCTATGTTTATTTATATATGCCTAAAAGAGAAAGAAAAAACACGATTAGATATCTGAAAAAAAAGACTGGTGTGAATAACCTGATGGTTAAAAAAACAAACAACCTTAGTGTATATTCATCACCAAGAAGACTAGTTAGATTAATTTATTCGAAAAGCTATTTACAATAGATTGATATTCAAATCAACATAGACAAATAGTATATGTGTATACAGAAGGGATGATTGTAGCCTGTCTAATAATAACAGTAATAACATATATATACAAGTGATTATGATGATGACGGAGAAACAAAAGCTTTGGAGAAAACTATTTACAGTGAAATATTTACAAATATATACTCATCATCAAGGCTTTCTACATGCATCGCCAGTAGTAGCTATTTACAAGGTTTGGAACAATTGATAGATAGATATATACACACACAAATATAGATATGTTCGTTTGACATAGTCACTGGGTAACATTCCTTCTTTCCTGGCTTAATAATAAACACAAATTATATTATGCATTTTATAAGAAAAATAGATCAGAAATGTACAAGTGAATGAATTTATCTGGTAAAATAACCACACATTGGTTAAGAGAGAAGTTTGAACATAAGTCAGATGGTACACATAATTCCATTCTTCAGTTAACTCATTGTCATTCTTCTAATAGTAACAACCTTTCAGTGTACAAGTGAACCAAAATATCTTTATTAACAAGTGATATGTGTACAAAACAATATGATTAAAAAGGATTTTTTAAAAACACTAATGTACAAAATGACGATAGGAATCATATGTAAAGCTAAGAAGTAATGTTAACCGGAACATTCAATGGATAAGCTACAAAGAATACATAAATATATTTTACAGAACTAAACTTGCCTGTTATACTTTCGAGCTCCATGTTACCAGTATAACGGAAAATAACTAGCATTTAAAGCTAGTAGTAATGAAGTCAGTTAATCACTAGCGAAATATGACCAAACTGTACAACCAGATGATTTGGGAGATAAAATGACAGACTGAAAAATTAATTAGGAAACACAAAGTACAGCTACATAAGTCATCAAATTGACGACCGATATATCTGAACAGTGGAGAATAAAACAAGAACTAATGTCTGTATCTGCTGTCACGATAACGGTCAGCTCCACCTCCGAGGTTGCCAGTACACGCCTGTCCAGAACCATCCACTAGTTGGACTCCAGATAAACCTGAACCACTAGAAAGTGATAGATTTGATCCCATACCGTAGTAGGCACTGCCACCGCCGGACCCTCTGTCACGCGAGTGTCTGCGACGTTCGTGACGATCATGTCGTTCACGAGATCGAGACCTATGTGGTCTGTCTCTGTGACGTCGTGAACTGGTACTATTGCTCCCGACGACAGAACTACCGTAGTTACCTTCGCCAACATCGCTATCACTATCGCTGTACGAACGACGACGTCTGCGACTACTGCTTCTGTAAAAAGAAAAATATTGAATAAGCTCATAAATAACTTGAAATGAAAACGCACGGGAAACCTCGACACACTTATTATCAAAAGAACATATGGCTTAGAGACTAAGCCATGTTAATATTACTGTGATCCGAGCCGCGTACCAAAGTTGGAGTCACTGAAATAATAGTCAAAGGATGAAGGTAATCCGCCAAACAACTCACAAACAATCATCAAAATGTAGACAGTTCATCGTGACTTCAATTTAACCATTCTCGCTCAGCCGGTACATCTATCTTAATTTTAAAAAGTTGCGTGTACCCAAACTTCTTGTATTATGCTGTGCGACAAATTCGAACATAATTATGTAACTGAATATCACTCTCTTATATAATCCATATGATCAAGGTCCTAATGTTGACCTGTCTCTCTTTTTATCAAGTAATCGAATCCACTTTTGGAGCCCGATCACCCTCGATTCCTCCTTCAACCAATACTGTATGAAATATGTCACATGTGCAGGCTAAAACAAAGCGAACCAGCTAAAACCACTTTAAAGTGAATTAGTGAAGAGCAAAATCAGTAGTACATTTTCACCAAGTCAGTGACAGAATAGAACAGAGTTCTGAGAACACACTGAAGATATATAGTGTCAAGATAAGATCCGCACACATCCGACGGAAATGTTATCACGCAACATATACATCAGGCATTAGAACACTAATTTTACAGGTAGCAGTGGTAATATTCCAGTATTGATTCATTGATTGTAACTAATCCTATCTGGCTGACAAAGCTTAATAGTTTGAATGTAATTTGATCTTAAGAGCTTACCTACTAATAAATACTAAATAATTAGCCTGATGAGTCAAAGGTGAGAAAAGTACGTGCAAATAAATATATTCAAAATGCATAGCCATAGATATAGACAAATCTAACAGATTTAAGATTCTTTTTGTATACATGAAGAATTACGATAAAACCTTATTAGTCCATATGGGGAAAGATTATGCACACCAATTGAAAGTTGGATTTCTGAATCAACAAGCAGCATTTTCACGGAAAAATACTGTTAAGTAAACGACCCAAATAAGTTAATTATTTCAGTTATGTCGAATACGATAAGAGTAAGTTATCACTGACTAAGACTTTGCCGGCAAACAATGACAATGCATAATTAGTATTCTGTGCAGAGAATAACATAAACGTTTGAACTCAGCTTCCAACCAGATTAGTTTTCCTATATGCACGTCATAGTCCAAACTACAGCTGCTCCTCGATGTAGTGAACAAGCATACTTATCTCGACAACCTGAAGAGTTATGCTGGTTGAGACAGCATTTTTATCATATCCTATGGCATCGGGAGAACCAGAATGACAGTAAAGGCTGAAGGCAGTTCTCGTGATAGTTTGAATGGAGTACAGTACCTTGAGGATTTGAGGTGACAACAATGAAGTTTCCTTCCCAAGCAAAATACGACACCTGCCATTCAGCCTTTCCGATCGAGCGACAACTAGAAAGAATATCAGTTTCAGAAACGCCATATTCCACTTTTTCTGAAGCTTGCTATTTCACAAAATCACCTTCTCTTAGTAGAAATTCAAGTTTAAAAACCCTAACACAATTAGACAGAATTCAAACGTACATCCCTAAACTCTGCAGTCACGTAAAACTATTTTCTGTTCCTTTTCAGGTAATTCAAATAAACATCAACTTTCGATATGTTGATATTTTAAGGGTATTAAAATGCCTTTCTGCTTCGGTCTCTGTTTCCAGACAGTATCCCAGCCCACACTAAAATAAGATTTCGTGAGGCGTATCTGTTGCTGTCCATAATATTCCAGCTTTTTGTTTAAATAAATGACAAATATACAAATACCTTGTAATTTCCAAGTTTTGATATGAATGTCTAAATTTTTTACATCTCGTACTTCTATTAACCTCCATTTTCAACTCAGCACCTCATAATAACGAACTCACGAAGCAACATACTCGAGCAAGACGTAGTGGACTGCAGTCGGTCGTGGGGCTCCGCGGCTGGTTGTAGGTCTTTAAAACCGTCCAGCGAGGTCACACAGCGCATGTAGGTGGCGCGACCTCCAGTTGCTCGGGCGCGTAAGCGTCAGGGTCCCGCCCATGATTTAGTGGGAGCAGAGCAGCCGTGGGAGTAACATCCTGCGGTCCGGGGACCCAGTCTCTCAGACCAGACTGAACATCTTTGTAAGAACTGCCCAACAGGGGTGTATGACCATCGTATCTATTCAGGAAGCATTTCGGACATCTCGTGGTTCGTGATGTGGAATGGATTCATGGGCCGGGATGATGGGGGCCTTAATAGTGCAAGCTAAATCCCTCACTCATTCCTCGTCAGCGGTGCGGAGCCAGCGGTGAGAGGATCGTCGGCATTTCTAGGTGCTCTTGCCGGCCTTACGTACGTGAGGAAATGTCCCAATCCGAGGACGGTGGTTGTATGCTACCTGCAAGGTGGAAGTGCAATTATGTGACCAGGCCATGTGAGTTGTCATGATTCGCTGAGATGGGGCAGTATGTACCGTCTGAGAAGCAGCCACGGTCTGTCTTGAGACTTGGACAGTGGGGTGGGAAAACACCTGCCGCTGAGGGAGCGTTATATGGAGTGCCTGGCATGGGGTGCTTATTTTCATGCTGCAAAGTCATGAGGTGTTTTCTGCTCAGCAGGGATACTGACTCTGGGGGGACTACGGGAAGAAAAATAAAGTACCTCTGGAGTGAGACTTAATCCAATGGTTTCCTCAGTGTGTCCCCGATCCGTCTCCATTTTCTTCGCCATTTTTGTTGAGCAGTATGTTGTTAGTTGGTTCGTTCCAAGAGCTTCTCGCTGCAACTTCTTTCTGGCCATTTGATTTCCACCATGGAGCGAAGGCAGCTGTTGATAAAATTCTGAGGCGGCCTGTTGGAAATGCTTTTCGTAACGCGTAGGCCAAGTTTCGGACTCATAGAAGGACTGGATAACTACGCACTTGTGTTAAAAATCCGAAATTTGTTGTTTATGCGGCAGGTTTCCAAACTGATTTCAGAGTAATAAATGTCTACCTTGCCTTTCCGATTCTGGCATCCTCATCCGTGGAGTCGGCTGTGGTAGAAAGGATGCTTCCTAGGTAAGTGAAGGAAGTAACCTCTGTCAAACTTCTGTTGATTGTGATTGGTGTTGGTTGTTGTTGGCTGGTTATTTTCATCACCTCCGTTTTCCCAGTGTTTACTCGAAGTCCTGTCTTTGCTGCTTCTTCTGCCTGCGAGTCTTCGAGTCTGTGTGACATTAAACATAAATCATCCTCGAAATCTAGATCTTCTAGAGTCTTCTAGTCTGTCCAAATTATTCCTGTCTTCTTGCTTCCCATTCACGGTGTTCCTCATAATTCAGTCCATGACGACTAGGAATATCATCGGTGATAATAGGCAGTCTTGTCTTACTCTTGCAATCACTGAGAACACTTCGCTAAGTTTTTCGTTGTGGGTATTGGTTCATAATAAATTCTACCTCGACATATAATAATAATTATTATTATTGCTATTACAAGTTCTCCTAAGTTATTTATTGACTTAATAGAAAGTAAAATTTATTCTGTGAGGTATGGTGTACTGTTTTGATCACAAAGTGAATTACCCAAAAGACTATTGAAAACAGGGCAGAGGTGTAGTTGATTAGCTGAAGCACTCAAATTCCAGTGCCGGGTCGTCATCTCTCTCTCTCCCTCTTTACTTCAACCCAGGCAATTGGGTAAAGTATCATCAGGCCTCGCATAATAACTGTGGCTAACAGCCCTATGCCAGATAACTAATTTCTAACCAATCAATCAACCATTACAAACAAAAGAGCTTCAAACAGTTCTTGTTTTGCTCTAGTTAGGAAGCCTTGTTGAAAATTGACGTAAAAGCATAACTCGTGTGGCGTGTGCTACTGACAAGATTTAACAGTAGTATATAAAGAAACGTTCGTCGGTATAAAAATATCGAATAGCGGAGTGATAGACTTGACATCAAAGAGAAGAAATTGTTCAGTGTTGCTGCAAAACATGGGAGACACGAAAAGAAGACAAAGAAACACAATACGAAGACGATATTGACAGATCAGGGTCATTGTTTTGAAAGTGAGGAATTCACTCCCTGTTTGCAACAGCTGGGGATTAAGAAGATCCGAACATCACATTATTCACAAACAAATGGTTTGATAGAGAGAAACAACCGTACACATAAGCAGTGACTGGTATCGAAGGGAGGTAACTGGGAGACAGCGCTTCCATTGATCTTACTAGCAAATCGTGCTTCCACCCAGGAAACAACTAAGTCACCATCTTGGTTGATGTATGGCATAGCACGACCCGGCCCATTTACCAAGACAAGGAGTTTCACCAGATTGCAAACGGAACAGGAAGAAGCCGTCAGGAATGTACAGCGTAAACAGAAGATAGACGTCGCGAAATCAGGACGGAGAGGAAAGATGGAATGCATAACCCTTGAAGTCGACGATCAAGTAAAGTATAGAGAAAGAATGTATGTTTGCAACTTGGGCATTGTGGTAGCATGTAATTCAATATTAATTTGTTTATTAGATGTATCACACAGTGAAATAGTATTATTTACTGGATGACGTTTCGAACAAAATTTATTGTTCATAATCATATCAATTATAAACACACGACTTCGAAATTTGAGTTTTATAGTTTCCTCTATTCTCTCCTATTTGTCGTAGGGGTAGTAGATTTTTCCAGATGTCCGGCTAAACAGGTGTTGGATCATTCCTATTACACTTATTTGCAGTTGATTCGATAAACTAGGCTTCTGTTATCAACCTCACCCTACACCCTGTGACATTAGATTTTAGAACTGTCATCCTATCCCATCCTGTTGTACGGTTGTGTAATTGCATGTAGCGCTATAGCTGAACTATTCCTTAGGTTTCTTATCCCATTAGGGTCAACTAATCTAGATTTAGCTAGGATTTTATGTTTGGTTAGTCTGACTGCCCCTGTTCTACTAGTTTGACCTATATATTTAACCTGACAGTCATTGCAGGTAGGGTATTAGACAAACTAAAATGTTTTGTTTTAAAAGGCTCCACAGGATCCTTTAACCGACAAAGCTTGTTTCTAATTGTGTTTGTGGGTTTGAATGCCAGCCACTCTAATTCCTGACTTGTTAAGAATTCTGAGTAAGGTTTCCGAGGTTCCTTCCTTGTATGAAATTACTACTGATCATTTAGATTCCCTATTGTTGGTGTTGTCATTATTCTGTGCATGCTTGACATGCATGTCGTCATTAATGTTACTAATATTACTATCATCACCACTACCACTACAATTATTATTAATTTTATTTTTACATTTTCCGACATAATTCCTGATTAATTTATCTGGGTAATTATTAAGTTTCAAAGCTTCTCTTATATGCTTCACTTTCTGTCTTAGATTTTTCTTGGTACTACTTAGTTTTTGTGCTCTATTACTTAAACATTTCACCAATCCTGACATTGAGAATACAAATACTGCGAGGTGACATCATTTTATAGTTTCTTCACGATCGCTTTACAACTAGCACGGTTCACAATAATTAAATAAAAAGTTTGACAGTTAATCAGTTACACAAAACAAATTTGCATTCTAGTAACCAATCATATTTTATTTGGTCAATTAATCCACGGCAAGCAAAAGTTGAAGCCTGTTATTGTCTGTACATGTGGACTGGGATGCACGTGATTCATCCAAAGTACTTCCATAAACTTCAATAACCTTGAATTAATTATTACGTGAAATAATTGAGAAGGTCATTAATATCGATTCTGTAACCAGATATTAATAAATGCTGAATTTCTGCTCAGATTAAGTACATTTAGATTTTCTATGTGACTTAATAACTACTTAGGAATATGTTCTTTCTGAAGATATCAGAACATTCCAATGGTTCTGCCCATTTATATGTCCTCGTAACTTCAGTTGAACTTGCAGACACAGTGTAAAGTTCACAAAATTTCATCCTTTACTGGTAGGCACAGGAATTGAAAATACTCGAAAGGTAAGGGAAAGAGAAATGGTGTAGAATGTGCGTTTAATAACTGACCGAAGCCTTGGTGCTGTTAACTGTATGATTTGATAACCACAGAATGGTAGTTCAGTGAAGATAGCTTTCTTCGGTACGGAAGCTGTCTTTCCAAGGGGCAGTCTCTCTCTATTATGACATACAATGAAGTTTACAGGATATCCATTAGTTCACAAAACTGAATGTACGCACCGTAGCCCATCCATTAGTGTATGGCTTGTGAAAATTTTACGGGCCCTTGGAAACAGGCCTTTTACTATAGAACGTCTGGATTGGATAGGAACAAAACTCTTTAAGATATGGTCCACTCCATGTCTGTTTGCGAAATGTTGACCGCTTAAATATCCCGTCGTACCGCCTAGTCACTAAAGTATCCAGGAAACGCAATTTGCTATTCAGTTAGAATTGTGAAATCACTCAAATATTTGGATATCACTAAATAAAGTACTGAAGTTACTAGTCGACTCATTATTGCCACTAACAATGTGTATCGCCCACAAACGTTTATAAAGCATAGTTTGACAACATAGCTGCCATTTCTTTCTTCATTTTGACATAAATGCATCTGCTAACAGGGGTCTAAGAGTGCTTCCTATTTCAACATCATCAATTTGTTTGTATTTTCTTTGGAAATTGAATCTGATATTTTTCGTGTATGTCAAGATAACATCTATGATGTAAGTGACAGATACAGGTACTTGTATTCCATCGCTTGTGATAGGAACGTAAATGAAATAGACAGTCTCGTGAAGTGGGGCGTTGGTGCACGAAGATTCTATGTCGATTGCGCACACAGTCTTTTGTGTTTAATATTTATAGTGTCGAGTATGTTAACAAGTTCAAACGAATTAAGACTCACATACTAGTGCTATGAAAACTAGCTTACAACACAATGTCCATATATGGTAAAAGAATGCTACTATTTCACCAATTCAGAGGACAAATAAAAAATCCCCTACAGTTAGTATTTTCCAAGAAATGTCAATCTGAATCTAATCCATTTGAATATTGAATACTTTCCACAAAATGTCATTCGGAAACAATTGTGAGATATTAGTTTTTCCTTATTATTTTTGTGGCTGGAGTTACACTGGACGACGCCTAATTCTCGTATCTACCACCCAGTGTTCAGATAAAGATTCTACTGCAAAACCTAGACAATTGATAAAGTACTGCATATATATGGAGTATTGTGAGTCCTAATCACTTTTTGGACGAATTTACTGGAAATAATCTGTAATTCCACGCGTGGATTATAATCATGATACTTTTTCACATCTCACCTAGCAAATAATAATAAATCACGAAGACTGAATCAAACCATAGTCACAAGTGAATACAAAATGTAACCTACTTAGTTCCATACGATTTTGACTCAATCCCATGCAACGTGTCCTGAAGAGAATTGATTAGTATTCGACAACGATCATCATTTGCTATTTTCGATTGTTTGATAAGCGATATTGCAGTTACTAAAGTTTCGATAGCACTTGCATAATCACCACTTGCAGCATCCTGAACAGCTCTGTTAATTGCACTCGACGACACTGTTTTATTTCGTTGCAAAATATCTTCGAACTCTGATTCTGTGAGCTTACCTGGAACGGCTGTTAGGAGGAATATTAGCACATTATCGAATGAATGACAAATCAACACAAACTGAAATAAATGCATTTGAAATAATGAAGATTTGTTGCTTAGGGTGGGAGTTAAGAAGTCTTCTTTATAAAAATTTGTGCTAAAGATATCCCCAATTCTGGTGATGAAACCTCTACAATCAAATGCGACGACTCCAAAACAATGAGAAATTTCCATAAATGGGTCTCTTATTTGTGACACTATTTAGCTGATCACACTATGTTGATATTTGAATATTCCGTAGTTGATAACTGGATGGTCAGTCGAATGAGCTATACCTTCATTATAATTCAGTTTCCTTCAAGCAACACACTCGCAATAATCAAATCTTTGTATGATGTCTGATTTCCTGAACTAAACGAAGTTCGCTATGGTTCATATACCTAGTAAGAATTAGACTTCATGGGACACATGTTGTTTATGCTGACAGATTTTACGCAATTAAGTCATAGCGATAAGCATAAAGTGACTCAAGTTATTCACCGCACCAAAACTCAAAAATAATCTCCTCAATTTTTTAAGCATATGTATAGAAATGTTCTATATGCACTTACAAGTAACACTGTAGAAACCATCAGATCTGTTTTGACTATAGAACACACATCAGCGATTTTAACAAAATAACTGGATTTAACAAAAATCTGATTAGTCCTCCAAACTCGAAAAACCAGCGCGGAGAAATATATGTAGGGCTACATTTGTGGGATTATTGCAAATAACTAGCCACAAAGCAAACGTACGGACCGCTGTCACAAGCTTAATTTATTATTGCTAAGAGTAGTAATAATATACCCACTGAATTCTACTGTAATAAAGTTTTATGCTTATTAGATGGTTAGAGGAAATCAGTAGGAAGCCCAGAACCTAGGTTTCGTGCTTGTTAGCACTGATACACAAGGCGTGTCTGCAACTACCAAAGGACTGACGTCACTGCATATATCAGAACCTGCGTCGTCCAGGGCTGCAGTCAGAGAAGTTGCCACTGTGCTATTCGGTTTCATGATTGGTCTCCTATAGGACTGTAATGGATACATTGATTAACCACTAGGAGTTCAAATCTTAGAAGGGGCTCCGGTTTCTGCAAGGTTGCAGATACGTCTTGCTGATAAGGACTGTCCGGACGCCTCCAATCATCTAACATCAATTCAGGATGCATCGCGATGGTAAATCACCCAGCTTAGTAGACATATTGCAAACTTCCCTAATAAAATTCATTTTGCAATAACACCAAGGACTAGACGCATGACATTGGTAACCAATCAACATACTTATGAGTTTCCACGTAGATGTTACCAATCAACAAAAATGTGCAGCGACAGCCAAATTTAGAAGATGTACCAAGACTGAGGCAATCACGATGAAATTTGACAGAAAAACAGCACACTACTTAATCCTGATGACTAGTCACAACGAACTGGATCCCATATATTGAAGCTTCAGGCCTCATTAAAAAATTCCCAACACTCCTGGTATCTTCAACACAATGGGTATGAGATGCGTCACTCCAAGTTCTGTTACAACAGTAAAAGGAACGGAAAACAGGGTAGGACGAAATACTTACAAACATTTATACAGATACACTGTTGAAGACTTCACTTACTTTCGAACTCAAGAGTAAAACCTTTCATTTGATGAAAAAACTAAAGATATGTAAGGATACTCTGACTGGAAATCTGAGAGTCCAGTGGTATCAAGACAGAAAACCATTTTGACTTCACAATACTTGGAAACCCTAAAAGATCTACGTACATATGACGTATTCTTGAACCTTACAAAGGATAAATTTGGTTACAAAGACGAAAAATCTGCTCTGTTATAAAGGTAAATTCATTGTAGATATTACATCAGATTCGGACATAAGGCTAGTAACCTCACCCTGTAGACAAAACTGCTACAGAAAATTCAGTACGATGAGTCTTCTTGTGACGAGAGAAAAAGTAGGCGTGGGGAAACGGAACCCCCGCACTATGTATGAGATTGGCAAAGCTGCTTAGATTGCAAACAAGATGAGACATGGTATTGAAGTACTAGGAATATGTGAAAACAGATAGAATGGGAGTGGGCTCACCAAATTTCCAACGGAGGAGTCAGTGACCTACCCTGGTCACCCAGAAGACAACCACCAGCACACCGAGGGCGTGGCTTTCATGATGCCACCAACGGCAACGAAGGTCCTGATACAATGGGAAGCGATCTCACCTAGGATAATGACCGCCAGATTTAGCTCAAAAGGAAGGAGAGTGACAATTGTAGAGTGCTGTGCACCCACAAACACAGACCTCGAAAAGAAAGAAGAGTTCTTTCGACAGTTAATCACAGGCAACAATGGACAATGCTCTAGTCGGTGACATTGAAATCCTAATGAGAGACATGAACGCCAAACAAGGACCAGAAAACACAGGAAGAGAACTCATTATGGATAGGGAAGCGTTTGGAGAGATGAATGAAAACGGAGAACTCTTCGCTGACTTCTGTGCCTTCAATGAACTAGTGATTGGTGGCAGCGTATACAAGCACAAGGATTTCCACAAGGCTACATGGGTGTCACCAGATGGGCGAACCAAAAACCAAACTGACTTCATCTCAATAGCGCTCAAGGAAGTGGAGACGCAGCTTACTGGACACAAAAGTAAGAATAGGAGCAGACACTGGCTCAGACCACTATCTCGTACAAGGAACACTCCAAATCAAATTCAAAGCTTTCGAAGAAAAAGGAGCTGCATATAGACCACAAGCCAAGTTCAATACTTAAAAACTGAAGGACCAGGACACAAAGGACATCTTCACTGAAATCATAAGGAAAATGGCGGAGACATGAATCAACACTGGCGGAGTGACCAGCATCGAAAAGCACTAGAACAGAAAGCGGTGTGCAGTCAAACCTACATGGAAGTTTTAGACAGGAAGAAGAGGCAGGACAAACAGTAACTCACTACGGACACATGGAGGCTAATAGAAGAGAGAAGGATGATGAAACAAAATATTTTTCAGTGCATCGACGAACAAAAACAGGAGTTGAAAGCAAACTTCAATACACTGAACAAAAGAGTAAAGAAGAGTGTCAGGGAAGACAAAAGGCAATATTATTAAGCTATAGCAAGTGAAGCAGAGAAAGCTGCAGGCAGACGAGACCTCACAACATTCTATCAAACAACTAGGGTCCTATTGGGGAAGAGATCAACACAAATTAAGCCAGTGAAGGATGACAATGGAAAGCCAATCACCAAAGAGGTGGAGCAAAGGAAACACTGAGCTGAACACTTCCAAATCGATCGCCACCTACAACGCGCCTAATAATACCAACAGTGGAAGCAGAACCACCAGTAGACATCGACCCTCTGACGAGAACAGAAGTCCTGAAGGCAATCAAGATGCTAAACACTGGAAAAGCAGCAGGACCATACAGAATCCCAGTAGAGGCACTGAAAATGGACCCTGAGAGACGTCAGCCGTCTTGATGACACCACTACCGGAGGTGTGAAAAGAGGGTAAGGTATCTGCGGATTGGAAGAAAAGCTACCTATTCAAACTGCCAAAGAAAGGGGAATAAGCCAATGAAAGAACTGGCGCGGTATTATGCTCCTGTCCATCCCAAGCAAAATACTAAGCCGCATCATCCTGGAGAGAATCAAGCAAGCCCTAAATGAAAAGCTTCGACCGGAACAGGCTGGAATCAGGAGGAACAAGTCATGCATCGATCAAGTCGCAACAGTACGGATCATCATTGAAGAGAGCTTAGAATGCCAGTCAGCTCTCTACCTCAACTTCACTAACTTTGAAAAGGCCTTCGACAAGGTCAATCGAGGGGTGATTTGGCAACCGCTTCGCTACTAGGGGGTGCCGCCAACAATTTTACATCTCATCCAACAGCTGTACGACAATCCTGCGTGCCAAGTAATCCACAACGGGAAACTCACGGAATCCTTCGAAGTGAAGACGAGTAAGACAAGGATGGCTGGCTGCCTACTGTCTTCAGTGATTTTCCTGATTGCGATAGACTGTATAGTGCGACAGACAACAGGCAGTGAGGGGACAGGCATAAAATGGACCCACACAAACAAATTAGAGGATCTGGATTTCGCCGATGATATATGTCTGATTTCCCACAAACTGGAAGATATGCAAGTGAAAAGCGACAAGTTGGCAGAAGAAGCATCAAAGATAGGTCTTCAGATGAACATAGAGGAAACAGAGGTGATGAAGATTCCTGGTCGACAGCAATAGCAACAATAATAGACAACAATCAGCATAATTGGGAGAAATCTGACAGAAGCAACCTCCTTTACCTACCGACCTGGGAAGCATCGTTTCAACTACAGGCAGAAGGAACTGATGAGGATATCGAAGTGAGGATTGGGAAAGCAAGGCAAGCTTTCACTACTCTCAAGTTTGTGTGGAGATCAACAGCACTCAGGATGAAAAATAAGATACGGATGTGAAGTCAGTGCTATTTTATGGATCAGATGATAGTAAAATATTGGACGGAAAAAATAACATTTCACCTAGTAAAACTTCACAGTATATAACTAAAAAGATGAAATGAAATTTAAATTTCCGAATCTTTTTGGACTACTTCTGATTCACAGGAGTAACGCGTTTTGACTAGTACTCCTTGATTCATTTTCCTACATATACATTAACAAAATGATTAGCGAAAGCCGAAAACCCAATACTGATTCCAAAGCTCTTCAAGAGCTGTGAAGCACAACAGGAAGAACTTCGTCACCGATGAGACAATAAAGTGCTGGTGGCGAAATCTTATGAAAAGCCATTCGAACCACCTTCGCGTAATGATCCCACCAGAGAATGTATTTAAACTGTGAAAACCTTTACAAAAACTACTTGATATATAGTTGAAGGGCCATTTAATGGCGAAAGCAGACTTAGTAGAAATACATAGTGATGTCATATCTAATACTACGAAACTAGGCAAGTCTTATTCCCTATATATTTTCAGTAATTTTCGGTACATAATTACACTGCAAATACATTACTCAGACAACCCCCTAGCTCTGATGCAATTGCATTAAAGACAATGGGTGATTCCCATTTTTGGTGAGATGATTACATGACCATCATTAATATGAAGTACTTCGCAGGGCGATCTTGTGGGAATTACTATGTGCACTAAACAAGTGATAATCTATCCATGCACGGTAGTGTGATCAAATAAATTTCGAAAGTAATGCAAACGCAATAAAAATAAAAACACTTACGCGGCGTATATGTGTGGATAACTGGTCTTCCATAGTGGTCAAATTGCGGACGTGCATTTGAGTCATTATTATGGGTGTTCATTTGCATTACCCCACTAGGTGGCACTGGTGTTTGTAAAATGGATGTGTTCCCTGGTAAGGAGTGTGTTAAGAAACTGGGGTTGATGTGTGCATTTGTTGCTGAAAGAGATGTTGGGATGGTGCTGGGAAGAGTGAAGTTTGAAGGCAAAAGACCTGCTGCATTTGCTGAAAAGGCTGCGCTTGAGATGCCACTTGGAGGCATAAGAACGTTAGTTGACCCGGGAAAATTCAAAGGTAACTGGCCCATGCTAGAGTTGGCATTTAAATTAGATTGTACGTTGTGATTAATGAGAGCTTGTTGAATAGTCGATGACAAATTTGCTGCATTCCGAATGTTTGGCACCACCTGTCCCATTAAAGGACTATTATTCCGCACGCTAAAGCCAAGTGATGCGGGCATTGTAGGTGTTGCCATTAATGGAGTTGGCAAACGGTTTCCAAGAACACCAGTTGTACCTGCTAATTACTGTGAAAACACAACACGACAGTTACCTGTTGATACTTTGGCATTCTGCACCTCTTCTGTACGAGGTCGGGCAGTTGCCTGATTGTCACCACCCGCCGCTTTTTCAAACACACTGAGATTATGCTTCGTAAAACTAGTTACAACTGGGTTTTGCCCGTGAAGGTCAACTTTCGGGAATTTGTCCATTGCTATACGCATTGATTGCTCGGACCCAAACACCATTACACAAAAACTGAAAAGTAAATAAATGCGGATACTTTAAATTACCCCTTGGATTGTCCATTTTGACGATTTTCGTGAAACTTTACTTCAATGACATCGTTAATACCGATACCAGCAGCGGCCTCAAGTAAGTCCAAGTCCGTTGTCCACTGAAAAACATTTCATATATGCCATTTAACTAGTTAAAGCTTACCCATGTCAAGTTACCCACATAAACTGACACACGACGACCAGAATGATTTGATGAATTATGCGACTGCTTATTAGACTAGACAAATATGCTTAAATAAAATTAATTACCAAAGTAGATGCAGCAATGTTAGTATTTTCAGACTTAATAGGTGTGATAACATCATCATAAAGCTCTGTGAGGTCGGTACATTCCTAAGGTGTAAAAGATATCATATAATAAATACCTGGACGAAATCTTCATCTATATTGTCATACAAGTCTATCTCCGTGTTATCGCCCGCCATTCTAGCGATCGAAAATGCGAACTACGCTTCGGTGAGAAAACAAACAAAACTGACTTTTTGTGACCTTGAGTGACTGCGTATCCCAGATGTTGCTGGTGGATTCTGAAAGAGGAATAAGCAGGAAGAGATGTCAAAGATTCAGTTGATTATGTCCATAATCTACAGACGTGGTAGAGATGAAATGCGAAAATTAAGAGAGCAATCACAAATATACGTGTATTTTCAGGGTTGATAGAGAATTGCTAAAGAGATAATGACAAGCATCCTGTTTACAGGCATCAAACTACACATTCCATGACTTGAGTTACTTCGTTCAGAGTATTTGTAGTATTGATTTCACCATCCGCACGCGCTTCGAAAAGGAGAGTGGCATCTTTTTACGTTGTGAAGTAACTTCTGCTTTTGTTGTGTAAATCGCATCAGAAGCTTTTTGGTTTACTTTAACTGGTTTAATTAGTTGAAGTAGTGTCTATTTTTGTGCACTTTTGTGACTTTGTGTTTTTATATCTCTGTACTTAGGTATATTTATATACATATTTGTGTGTAACTTAAACAGCTATACTGACATGAGTCCCACAAATAGTTGTGGACGACCGGACTGCCACTTTCCGGTGGAGGATGGGATGCAGTGTGATAACTGCAACCTGTGGTTCCATAGAGTTTGCACTGGCTTATCACCATCAGCCTATAGGAGAAGCAGCAAGCCGTCATCTCCATGGATGTGCAAATTTTGTGCAAACCCGTTGGATGTCCTCATCCAAGAGGCCGTAGGACTTCTAATGTCGAAGAAGTTACCGAAAACCTCTGATGAGGGGGAAAATGCAGCATCTAGTACAGATGTTATAAACGAGGACTCTGGCCTTAGTCATAAAACTGAGGCAGAACCACATCCCCTAGCTTCGAAAGAAGCAACAGAGGTGAAGTTTGCCCAGCAGGCTGCAACAGCACGCAAAAGCCCCGAAAACCTAGGAGGGCAAACAGTGCCAACATTGTAAGACAGCAGGGTGATAGCATAGAGATGAAGCGTTGCGTGTCTGGTGAACGCACAGCTTCCAACTGCAGCGAGAGTAAAGTGGAACCATCTGATTCCACCTGGCTAGTGCCGAAGAATAGGAAGCTCAAGAACCACAGGAAAGAGAAAAGTACTGTGGTTAGTGATTAGGTCTCAACAACCGTAAACACTGACAAGATTAAACCTTCGGACTCAAATTACAGTACAGTAATTCGGAATTTGGAGGAATCGAAGAAGGTAGATCCAGCTGCTCGACATGCTGACGATCTCGAAATAGTTAACTCCATCATCCGTGAAATACTTCCGGAAAAAACAAATGGTGTTCACATAAGGAAAGTTATCAGAATCGGTAAACGAATCGCCGATGCAACGGAAAGTTCCTCACGACTGCTGAAGGTAGTACTGGGGAACGAGATGGAGAAAAGTATTATTCTCAACAACGCATTCAAGATCAAGAATAAAAAAAATGAGAATTAGGCCAGACTGGCCTTTGGAAGATAGAATTAGGAGAAGAGAAGCTGTGGCTGAATTAAAGGCCCGATTAGAAAAAGGTGAAAAAGACTTCAAACTGTTGGGTTTTCGGGTAGTGAGGTCTCGAAAACTTATGTTACCCAGACCTCTGTTCATAAGTCAAGTGAACACAGTATGCTACACGAACGCTTGTAGTCTTAGAAAATAAGCTTCCCGAACTAGGAGTGTTGACTGAGGAACTACAGCCCGATGTGATTGCTATCACCGAAACATGGTTGTTAATGGGTATAGACTTAACTCCACTCATACCTGGGTACATCTGCATTAGAGCAGACAGAGTAAGTAGCCGGAAAGGTGGGGGGTCGCTCTGTACATTCGAGATGACATAGGAATTAGGTTGACGTTGTCGGGAGCTCATGACAGTGGCACCTGTGAAGCCGCAAGTTGTGTCATTAACTTGAACAAAGGCAGTGTGATGATTGTGGTTATTTACAGAAGTTCCACCAGCCAAGCTGACAATTTCGTTATAAATCACCTCAGGACGTGGAGCAGAAAGAGTAGGTGTCTAATAATAGGTGATTTTAATGCCCCGCATATTAATTGGGAGGAATTGACATCAGCTACTTCGTACAATTGTTTCAATGAGGAACTAATGCTGGCAGTACTTGAATGCGCACTTGTGCAGCATATGGATGCACCAACACGATGCCATCCTGAACATGATCCGTCCACTATAGACTTGGTGCTAACACACCAGAAGGAGGATGTTGGTAACATTAGGTGCCTGGCGCCGCTAGGCAGTAGTGACCACATAGTTATTACTTTTATTTTCAGGATCCAGGCCATCATACATAGGTCAACAGCCGCTCGCCCAAACGTTTGGAAAGCGAATATACCTGCAATCCGAAATGCAGCAACCCTAGCTGACTGGTCTGTTGACACACACCAGACTGTCGAGGAGGCTTGGATGGGATTTAGGAATACACTAGAGTGCGTCACTGCACCCTTTGTACCTTGGTCTACGCCTCGAAAATTATCTCATAAACCACCTTGGATTAGTAATGAAATAAGGAGGTTACTAAGAAAACGAAAGAACTTATGGGACCGGTTTGCTGTGACTGGAAGGGATGAGTTCCGGGTAGAATACCGCAAAGTTCGAAACCTTTGCAAGTATGAGATTGACAAAAGTCGTATAGAGTATGAGAGACAGTTAGTACTGGATTGTATGCATTATCCAAAAAGACTGTTCTCGTATATCAAACGCAGGACTAAAACTAGTAGTGGCATACCGTCCCTCATTAGCAACACAGGAGAGGCTGCAGAATCAGACGAAACAAAAGCTGAGGAGCTCTCAGAATATTTCTGTGATGTTTTTTCGCCTAATCGTACCATCCCAGGGTGTAGCGAGGTAACTGGTGTAGCCCCTAAAATGCCTCGAATTGTGGTAGATGATGCAATGGTTCTGAAACTACTGTCTAAGTTGAAGCCAGGTAAATCACCTGGACCAGACGGACTTCACCCTAGATTGCCAAGCTCCCTGGCGGATATAATATACATTCCACTTACGGAGATTTTTCAGATGTCTCTGACCCAGGCTAGGTTACCCAGAGACTGGAAAGATGCTTTTATAAGCCCTATCTTCAAAGATGGGAACAGGCAGTTAGTATCTAACTACCAGCCTGTAAGTCTGACCTGTATTACAGCAAAGGTGTTAGAAAAACTCATAAGGGACCAGCTCTTAGCTCATACGGAAAAACATGGCTTACTGGCAGTGGAACAGCATGGATTCCGACCAGGACGATCCTGCTTGACAAACTTACTTTTAGCTAGGGAAGATTGCGTCGAGGCCAGGGATAAAAACCATCTACTGGACGTTGTATTTATCGATCTTAGTAAAGCATTCAATAAGGTATCCCACTTAGGTCTTCTTAGTAAACTTCAACATTTTGGATTAGACCAACGCTTATGCGAGTGGTTTAGTGACTACCTGATGGATAGGAGGCAGAAGGTAAGGGTTAATGGTGTACTGTCAGGGTGGAAAGCAGTACTAAGTGGAGTAACTCAGGGAACGGTACTTGGCCCCCTGCTATTCTTATTATACGTAAATGAAGTGCCGAAAATTCTTACCTCATCTTCCTCACTATTTGCGGACGATATTAAGTTATGGAAAACCGTAAATAGTAGCGATGATAGGTTGGTACTACAAAACGATCTAGACAAATTAACCGAATGGGCTAACCTTTGGAGTCTGGAAATCAATTCCAAGAAAAGAGCGGTAATGCACATAGGTCAGAAGTTTTACGCGTCGTACTCCATGGGGGACACAGAACTGCCAGATGTTAGGGGACAAAAGGACTTGGGAATTATTGTTGGCCATGACTTAAAAACAACGGCAAATTGTAATTGAGCCGAAGCTAAGACGTTTTGAATGCTATGGGCACTTCGAAGGGCTTTCAAACGATTAGACGAGGGTATGTTCCAAGTACTCTATGCAACATATGTCAGACGTCATCTAGAGTACTGCATACAAGTGGCGAGTCCATGCTTCAAAAAGGAGTCACATACCCTGGAAAGAGTACAGAGGGTAGGAACGAAATTAGTTAATGGCATCTCACACCTTCCTTATGATAAGAGGATGGAGCATTTAAATCTCTTCCCATTATCATACCGAAGGAGGAGAGGCGACTTAATTTTGGCTTACCGTATATTCAAGGGTTATTTAGGGATTGACCTTTCAAACCTTTCCTCTCCCTCTAGGATACATTTACGGGGTCACCAGAAGAAGGTGCTCAAACCAAGGTCGAATAAAATACGTTTGGAGTTTAGATTCTCTCACAGAGTGGTCAACGACTGGAACTGCTTACCTGATTCAGTAGTAACAGCTCCATCATTGAACGCTTTCAAAGAGAAACTGGATCTCTGCAGAGATATATATCGCGAGGATTAACATAGGCAACAAGAGCCTTCTATCCTTATAATCTGAATCTGAATCTAAAAGTAATGACTCACAGAGGTTCAATCGACTTCAATCTCAATCACAAAGTGTCTTCAGTTAAGGGACTGTTTAAGGCCGGGGAGTGTCTGACTACTGTTTCACCCCTGTCTGGAATCTTCCAGCAGTACACACAGATATCCCCACCATGGGTTAAACCAAGGGTCTGCAGGTTACAAAACAAAGTCGTAAACCATTCAACCACTGAGACGCAATCTGATGAGTGGCTGTACTATATATCTCCGCTAACTGTGGTAGTGTAATTCGTTCATATGGTTGTTTAATGACGAGTTGTATTTTCGTGCGCTTCTTAAGGAAATTCTGCATTAAAAATCTTTCTGGCGTACAAATAATCAGTGGCATTATTTTTTGTGCTGCGTCACATTTAATGCACTTTTATTGGAAAATCTGGCCTCGAACTGGTCAAAGGAGTCCATAAGTTAAGTGTATGTTATTGAATGTTAATGAAATCATGCTGGTATGTTCTGCCCTATTTATTAAGACTCCGTAATACCCACCGGATTA